AGGTGGCATCACGGAAGCTCTCGATGGAAGCTTGATAGGAGGTTTTATGAAGCATCTTGGCGCTCGCATTTTCTGGCGAGGTCTACCCAGGATTCCTTGCAGAGAAAAAAACTTCGGCCCGGAAAATCCAATGAAACGGCCGTCTTGGCCTCCGCCCACAAAAAGGGAAGGCGAAACATCCCCTCCTTCCCAACTCAGGAAAGTCGGAAGAGGCACGTTCAGTTCATCCCATGATGAGGGAGAAAACTCTGCACAATTTGCATGACACAGCACAGCGCGAGGACGTTTGGTCCTACGTGCAGATGAACTGTAGTTCGTTGATGGCTCATCAATAGGGTGTGCGGTGCTGGGCAGGCCACAACTTGTGGACAACAGCGGCAAGAAGACATCGCGGAGTACGTGAAAAACACCCCCGCAGACGGATCTCAGACGCTTTCCTTATTGTCCAAGGCACTTGGACGTACAACGCAATCACCCTCGATGGCCAATAGGTCTCCCGAATCTATCAGTCATTCAGGCGTGTCTGAAGGGTTTTATGAAGCGCGGTGACGGCCCGGGATTGTGTTCTCACCACTCTAGGGGCATCTTTGGGAGCACTGAAAGGAAGTGTATAATCAAAAACGCTTCTCCCCACATAAGTAAAGCTCAAAACCAAACTAACGCGTAGGTTCAACATAAAACAAACTGATAAATTAAAACCTACACTACATTGGTGTGCATACCAACGATTATACACCAAAATAAATTTAAACATTGGCTTTTACATTCAGAATACGGCTCTGTTAAAAATCAACGCATAATCCTGTGCTTGATTGATAGATTTTGCTGAATGTAAACAAATAACAGTTTCATTTCATTTCATTTCATTTATTTACTCTCAAGGCCGAAGCATTACAGAGAGGAGCGGGTATACATCGTACAGAAAATCAGGAAATACAGCAAATCAAAATTATATGCGCACAATGGCGGTCTGAAAACCATAAAATAAAAGAAAGACTGCGTGATGTGAAGAAGAGGCAGGGTGGTTGTAACAACAATGTTCAACATGGTTGCGTCTTTGAATGACACGCGCACACAAAAAACTAACAAGAGAAAACACAGCGTGACTTAAGTGGCGAATTTACGCGAAATGGTTAGAGAGGGCGTTTTTAAAGAAAGTGAGGTCAGTGCACTGACCTCACTTTGATAGCAGCGATAGGGGCGGGAAGGTGGTTCCACTCATTTGCAGTTTTCGGGATGAATAATTCAAAATATAAATTCGTGCGGGCGCTAGGAACGCCCACTTTAAACTGATATCTCAATCAGTTTAACAGATATCTCAATCAAGTTTAACAGATATCTCAATGTCTGCAGCAATGACAAAAAGGAAAATGAAACTTACAAAAATCGATACTGCCTTCTCTTTGTCAGACAAGCAAACATTAAAAAGCAAAAGAATTATGAATACTGTATTCGAGAAATTCTTAGTATCCTTTCCTACTGTGCTTAACTCTACACCCTTGCAGACAAGCTCTGAGGGGATGCGCATACCACAGTTTTCGAGGCGCCAGATTTTGAAGGAAGGACAAAGTGCTGACCTGTCCGAAGTTACCGAAGCACTCAGGGGTCGTGACTTTTAATCTGTGGCCCCTAAACTTTGACAAAGCCGCATACGAACACTTTAGCTTACCCGTTGTAGGCCTCCCAGAACACCAGGCGGCCCCTTCGGCGTCTCCATTCTTTGGCCCTCGCGACATGTTTAATGCCTAATCTCGATTTTTGCGGGACCATCAACCTTTCATTTCCAAGTTGCCTTCTCGGTGTTTCGGGCCTCCGGTCAAGGTTGAGGCAACTTCTATCGTTCACGTTCCCTTAACGTTTTCGCTGGCACCAATTCCTTTCGAAACGGCATGGCAGGCTTAACGACTCGGCAATAATACTCGGAAATACAGTGCTCAGAACACCAGCCGGCTCAACTGACTTATCCTCGTTGTTATTTTTTGCTTTCTGCGCTTTTGAAGCAGCGCTACAGTAGACGCTTTTTAAACCAGCCGGCTCCATATTGTGGCTCCAGATGTGTCTCCATAATCAGTCGCACCTCGCGCAATGTGAACCGCCTCTTGCTCCCACACTAGGCGAAGTGTTTCGTCGTCTAGACTTTCACAGTTTTCCTGTCTCGAAGGCGCAAGGCGACCAAACTAAGCTTTCTTAGCTTCTTCGAAGTATAAGTTTCCCCAGACAAATATGCGCTCAACAACGCCTCATACATTCCGCGGGAGCAAGTGGATCTTTGTCTCCAGTAATTTCGGCAGACGTCCTGTTTATTGCAAGCGTCCTCAAAATTAGCGAGAAAAGAAACAAGGTCCTCAACTGTGGGGAAAACGTAAAGCTTTTTTCGTCCTTGTTATCATTTACACGTTTCCAGTTCACAGTGGGACTCCCTCTCGATCACTTCGCGCTTTAAGGATTCCAATAGCTCTGTGCGCCCCAGCAGCTGTTCATGTCTCACACTTGCGATGCTGAATTGCTCGCTCAACCACTTCGCACTGTTTTTCCTCGAGCCACACGTCAGTAATAAACTCCCAATATTCCTCAGCCTCACTGAACATGACATCATTTTCCTCCATCGTTTCGAGAATCGCCTTGTTCTTGCGGAGCTGGCTTAAATGCCCGACTCCTCACAAATGTGGAGGTGCTGCATTTCAGCTGTCATTTTTTGAAACTCCAATGTCTCGACATTAGTGCATTTGTGACAATTTTCAACCGGTGGGTCAACATCTTACACTTCCCGAATAGCGCCGCTCTTCATCTCAGAAGCGGAATCACAAACCGTCAGACGCGTCATAGCTTCGTCAGTAAAAACAAAGGGCCTGCCTCCAGGATTCCCTGCAAGGAGGCCCTTTGAAAGCATGTCCAGGTCATTCGAATGAAGATAGGGATCATTTCTAGGCATGTTTTGGGACGCGGCAGATTATTCGCAGGCAGTCTGCATGGTACTTTTATCTTCCCGCGGGCTACCGGACAGCGCACACTGTTCTCTTCAACTATCCTTTCTTTCCCGCCAGCCATGCATTGGCCACGGCTTTTAATCTTTCGATCAGTTGTGCTTTCTACCACCTCACGTTCACTGCTGTCCATCAAAGAAAAAAAAACACTCCTAGGCTTTTGACAGCCGATCGCAATGTGCCCTGGCTTTTTGCAACCGTGGGAGACGACTGCAGCTGTCTAGCCTTCAGCACTTTTTATTTCTCTTGATGCTTAGAACAGCTCACGGTGCTTGCAGCCTCGGCAGGACTGTCTTTCAGTTTCTTGTCGGAAAATGCTATCCCGCTAACCAGGTTACTTGATGACTTATAGATAGATTTCTAAACTTAATCATTTTTTTTCAATTTATTTTATCTTCCTAAGCCCATCTTAGCCTTCTTTCGGTTTGTCTTTTCTGTTTCTCAACTTTCTCCCAACATTTCTCAATTTCGTCATCCTCCGCACCACACTCTTGAACTTCCCCAATGAGCTGCGACTTTTTCTGATCTCTCCCCACCTTAATTACCAACTATCCGCAAAGTATTAAGAGGTCTGGTCTCTCTAGCTTCTTTACTAACTCCATGAATTTTGCCAGTGAGGACTTCTTTACCCACCGACACGTTAGGTAGTGAACAAGCGAAGCCTACAACCATGGTAATACTACTGCCAAATTTAGTACATGGAAGATAAAAACCCAGTTTTAGAAACTTCTAAAAGCTGAAACATGGCGAATCTCAAAGAAAGTCAAGTACGCATCACAAATGAGGCCCGAATCAAGCATGCGACATCCCACCGCTGCCACCAGTTGATGTGGTCGTGGGTATGCCCATAAGACCAAAGCCAGCCAATATCTCGGGGATATGTCGAGGAGAGGAGTCGGATCTGTTAACAGGAACATTTAATTCACAGAATTTCATTTATAAGGTGGCGTGTTAGTGCGTGATGGAGGTATCATCCTGGAAGCTCTCGATTGTAGCTTGACGGGAGCTTCTGCAGCTTTTCGGGAGCGTCTCGTCTCGGCGCTCGCGTTTTTATGCCCTAATCTTCCCAGGATTCTCTGCAAAGAAACTAATTGAGGCCAGGACAGTCCAATTAAATGGCCGTCTTCACCTCCACCCCCAAAAGGGGAAGGTGAAACACCGCCTTCTTTTCAACCCAGGAAAGAGAGAAAAGCCACTCCCAGTTCGTTTCATGGCAAGAGAGAAAACACTGCACAATGCGCACGACACAGCACAGCGCGAAGACGTTGGGTCTTACGTGTACATCAACTCTAGTCCGCTGAGGACTCATGAATAGGCTGTGCGGCACCAGCACGCCACGGCTGGTGGAAAACGGTGGCTTGAAGACACCACAGAGTACTTGTGAAATGTCCCCGCAGACGGATCTCAGACGCTTCCCTTATTGTCCGGGGCACCTTGACGCACTAAGCAAGCATCCTAAACGGCGAACAGCTCTTCCTAGTCTGTCAGTTGGTCAGGCGTGTCTAAAGGGAAGAAATCAGGGTAGGCTCAGCCACAATGACTCATGCGTCCAAGCAGCGCCAAGCCAGGCAGGCCGCTCGTATTAGTACGCGCTGCTGCGAACACATCGCGCGCATACCACGCAGAGTGCGGCCGAGCCGCCAAGCCATTCAGCATTCTAGGACCCCTGGCAGCAACGTCTCCATCATAAAGGGGCGCTGCTTTCAATATGCGCTCGCCGGTACCGGTGACACGACCTCGGTGACACGTCCTACAACAAGTGGGCCCATCGTCCCCACTACAACGACGACGGCCCCGCCCTCATCCACCGCTCAACCGGCCTCTACCGTCGTCCTAAAGCACTCGATGGCGACGCAAACGCCGCGCGCTTTTACACAACCGCCGGTTCCTGTCACCGTCACCAGAAGCATGACCACTGAGCTCGCTACCTCGACCTCGCAGCAACCTGACATCAAAACCAGGAATTACATCCTCACTGGGCTTGCTTAGGGACTTCACATGGTGCTCAGGGTCCTCTCAGTTGGCCCCCACGAGCGCAATCTTTGCGTTGTTTCCCTGCTCGACTTCGAGTCCATGGCTGAACAGTTTGGCCTCTCCCTGGACGAACCAACTGCATTTCGTGAGTTCTTCTCTGGCCATGTTGAAACGTGCACATCACTGTACTTCCGGCCATCTTGATGGTAATCACAGTCGACTGCATGTGGCATATGGGTCTTCGTCTTGCGCGCCCGCGACTCGCAGTTTGAATGCACTTGTTTCCTCTACTTTTTTCTTGCCTCTTTTCTCCTCTCCTTTAATTCCAATTCCCTTATCCCCTGAGCAGAACTGTGGATGTGCCCTCATTTAAGAGAGGCAGTAGCGGAACTGCGCTTATTTCTTCCTTTTTTCCCTTTTCAAAGTCACTTCAGCCGAGGAGGCGACAGCCATGGCGCGCGCCCAGTTTGCACTACGAAAAGAGTACAGAGTGCCTCCATTGTTCATCCTTTTTGTTTGCTACGCAAAGAAAACAAAAAAAGATGTTGCGGTTTCCCGGGCCGCATATCTTATTCGGCTTTCTTTTGATATATTTACATGCACCGCAAAACAGTTCGCAGAAAATGACAGAGTTTTCAACTCTTCTGTCCAATCATTGATTGCTTTTCCCCACACTCGCTAACAGGCAATCCAGCGTGCTACTTTTGAAACATGTTTAGGTGTGCTCATTGATTGCTTTTCCGCACACTCGCGAACAGGCAATCCAGCACGCTACTATGAAAAAATATTTAAATGTACTACGCTAGCTGTCGTCAGGAGCTAGGACAAGTTTTTCTTATACTTGTATTTTGTTCTCCCGCTTGTGCACGCAGCTTAAATTCAAGGCGTCCACTGCACATTTGCATGTCCAACCGGTGCAGTATGTCTTGATTTTCTGAAGCATGGCTGCGCCATCAGAAAACCGCAATTTCGCTGCCACCATCTGCCAGAACGTTGGCTCTCGATAGGGGGGGGGGGGGTTAATGATAACGCATTTGTTTTCTTTGTGAGTGAGTGAGCAAGCGAGTAGCAAGACGAATGAATGCATCGTTTACCCTGCCACTCACTACGTCAAAGCTTTGCGGCTCTTGCATAGAACGATTAATGTAGTTGCCGTTCAGTAGTGGGAATACACACGTCTTTTAACTCTGCTATGCTCCCCTTCGTCCTTCACGCCGCGCTTTCGCAGTCTTGTTTCACGCAATGTCTCCGATAAAATGCTTGCAAAGAGAGACACGAAAATCAGATACGAAGCCATCAGCTAGCGCATCTCATTATGGGCTTTAAAAAACAGCTCACGTAAAGGTTGAACATGCCCTTTTCACATCGCCATATCAAGAACGCGAATCACATGCCGGCTTGGGGGCAAAAAAAAAACGTATTGTTAGCTGTATACGGAAGTTTTTATGGAAAAAGAGGACAAGCTTGTACGATAAACGGCGATAAATATTAATGGTGAACGCAGTGACCGTCTGTTTCACGGCAACGTAGAAGCGTGGGTTAAACATAAGTACTTGCAGGAAGGTTGTACACCATACTCAGGCTACTGATTTTTTTTTTCATTCCTAGAGCGTGTCCCTCTCAAAGGCACAACTTGGATTGCTGTATTATTCTAGGAGCAAACAACAGCATGAAGATAAGAACAACAGCATGAAGATAAGATAAGATAGTGCATGAAGATAAGAACGTGTAAACTTTGTGTGGCAACACTACCACCAAACTTAAAGCTGACATGCAGAGAAAAGTAACTTCGCTACATCTTTAAAAGAATTATGGCTCTTTTCGATATCGCTGCGCTTTCTAAAGCAATCCTTTAAAGTGGAGTGTTCGCCGTGGCACAAGTAACACATTGTGAGAGTGCATGGAGAAATCAGAAAGAGAAGTGCAATAGCGAACAACTTTTTCTCGTCTGTTGTCAGCGTTGGCGTGTATTATTTTCACTATAAGTATACACAATGAATTTGATTTGATTTGTGCGATTTAACGTCCCAGAGCCACCACATGATTATGAGAGACGCCGCAGTGGAGGGCTCCGGAAATTTCTACCACCTGGGGCTCTTCAACGAGCACCCAAATCTGAGCACACGGGCCTACGACATTTCCGCCTCCATCGGAAATGCAGCCACCGCAGCCGGGATTCAATCCAGCGACCTGCGGGTCAGCAGCCGAGTACCTTTGCCACTAGACCACCATGGCGGGGCTATACGCAATGGATAAAATAATGTATTTTCAAGCCAGCCGGCTCTCTTATGCACTTAGGGAGGGTGGCAGGTGAAAGCGTATATAGTCTTTCATAGACTGTGCTTTTTATCACACAAACACCGCAAAGATGAACTGCACGCCCAGTTCAGGCCGGTATATTTTAGTTTCTAAAGTTTTTTTGTATCGTTCCGCCATCACAGCGGCTTTTTCGTCTCATGAGGCATATAAGAATTTCGCACAATAAACTATACCCAAGCATTTTTACGTAGTGTGAGGGTGAGTAGCGAGACTAGATTGTTCTAACAGTCAAGCGGCGGAAGGCCTCTGCAAATTGTCACTCCTCTGCCTGACACGGCATTGAGCATTCAAACACCAATGTGCTTTATGACCGGCTTCACCACAGCTCCACTGACGTATTTCCGTCGCGTATATGTGACTTTGCAAATTAGGCACTAACACATCACTAAGAAAATTTTCAAAGAAAAAAGATCGCTCAGCCAGAATCGAACCTACGACCCCACGCTCCGCAACGCATGGCGCCAAACGCCTCGGCCACAAAGCGCATGTTCTTGGACGGGATAAAGCCTGTTTCACATGCGAGCGATTTTGCCCAAAGAGCAGAGCTGCAGCACCCGCGCGAGCTCAAAACAGGTTTCTACAGCGGCGAATGGACGATCTCGTAAATATCGGAAGTGTTGGAAAAATTCGCTCGTGGCAGACGCGGCAGAGCGACTAGTGACGCGGAGGACGCGTGACGCCAAGGGCGGAGTCGAGGAGCTGACGCGCGCGATGCGAGGACCTCGCTCCATAGAACAACTCGCTCCGACTGAGTAGCAGATGACATTCGCCCACTCTTCGGCTCACAAATGTCTCGCGCTGCCTTCAACTAGTTGCCCATTGCAGAAGTAACGAAACGTCATTTTCTTTGGGCCGTCAAGATAGCGGATATTTTCAACAATCACAAGAAGAGCAATCTTTAGGAAGACATTGCCAAGCTCCCTAAAGAATTCGCATTCTTCCATAAAGTAAAAGTCGTCGCTTGAACTGGCCGTGTTCACTGGTGAAGTCGAAGCACCGCTGTTTTCCTTTCGTTGCGCTAGACGAAGCTTCCAATGAAGTCACAATCGTGTGCAGTTCTTTTTTTATTTATTGATAATAATCTTAAGATTACTTTCTTTTTTTTTGCATTTTCATCGAATGTTAACTCCCACGTAGATGAGCCGCATGGCACGCCCGCCGTACTTCTCCATTGCAGCAAATGTTGCTGGTTTAATAAAAGGTGAAATTTGGTGACACGGTGTATAGCTGAAAGGGTTCAACCGAACGAGAGAGCAAGGACGGACGCTACGGTGGTCGATTTGAGAAGTAGCATTCAACCCAGGACACTTGAAAGGAATTTCGTGATGTGACTTAACAAGCAGGGGGCGCGAAGCGTGCTGTCAAGCTTCGTGGAGATAAGGGTTTTACCAGGGGTCTTTATTTTTGTTATCCCCTTCAACAACACTTCTACTCTCACTAAAACCAAGGATCACTTGTCCGCATTCTCTGTGACGCTTTTCACGCGAGGAACAATAGCACTGCACAGCGCTCAAGTTTGTAGGCTGTCAGGTCCTGCCCCACTGGCCATCTGCTCTTGTTGACAGTGCCGGAATGCCTGGCTGGCTGGGCGAAAAGAGATGCTCGGTCGCGAGCACAACATACACTGCCTAGATGAAGAAGACAAGTTGTTGATTTCAGGCAGCAGTGCAGCAACACATGCCTGGGGACATGCACTTAAATTACATGGCCGGAGGCCACCAAGTAAATGTCATTGTGCTCCGACGGCAAAGCTGAGTCTGTTGCGTGAAATGATTTGATACTTCAAGGTTTTTCTGCTCACCACCGCAGTATCTATGGACGCGAATTCCCGCTAATGCGAGAATTGCTGCATAGTCCCCTATCTGAGCCATGCACAAGTGCATATACCGCAGCCGAAGAACCATTGACATGTGGGGTTGAACGTCCCAAAACCACCATATGATTATGAGAGACGCCGTAGTGGAAGGCTCCGGAAATTTCGACCACCTGGGGTTCTTTAACGTGCACACATATCTGAGCACACGGGCCTACGACATTTCCGCCTCCATCGTAAATGCAGCCGCCGCAACCGGGATTCGGTCCCGCGACCTGCGGGTCAACAGCCGAGTACTAGACCACCGTGGCGGGGCGGCCAAAGAACCGTTAAAACGAGCGTATCACGTATAACATGCTACCTGCCGTTGGTGAAACTGTGCCTGAGGTGGTTTACTAAGTCATTGAACAACCTAAGAGGCTTTCTATTTAGAGTGGAAACATACAAATTCATGCGCCAGAAGAGATGTAAATTATTCGGAAAATCTCGACTAAGAGTGTGTTCGCATATGCCACAGGGTGACCACAAAAACGGCCGAAGCTTACCACTGAGGCTTTTTATAATCTTATATTTTGACTCGAGTTAACAAGTACAAAAATTTAGGTATGAATTTTGCGAGGTGTATATACTGGAATGACAGAAACCTCGTTTGGCTTCCCAAGGTTAAATCGCTGAAAGCAACAGCAATGAATCGGAGAAACATGGGAAGCGCTGCGCACAACAAGCTCCCAGCTCTTACGCATTCACCTAGCTGGAACACCTGTCTAATAAAACCATACCAGCAAACTTTTTCTTCTACTTCTCCATGGCCAGTTATATGAACACGCAACAAGAACCATACGTTAAAATGTCAGAACCGAACTAAAGGTGACTGCAAACGCTGTTCATTTGTGATAATATTCATGTTAAGCTTAGAGCAATCAGTGTACAAACGCGTAAAAGTCCGGCGGCAACTGATGATGAACTTCGCAACGCAAGGGTGCGAAAAGAAGGTTTTTGTAGCA